TCACGTTAATTGGATATCGATAACTATCTGATCGGATTAATTTTTTGTCAATCGTTAACTATAAACACCATCCATTTTTTTTATACAAAACTGATTTGATCATGTAGTTAGAGATATCTGATCAACGTGATTTTTTACAGATATATAGTACTCGACGAGTTCTACACATTGAAATTATCAAAACGAGACCCGTGATGGGGCCCCACGGGCCAAACAGCACCATTCCGGGTTAATTTTTTTGCACACCCCGCGTTGTAAATTTATACCACTGACCATCACTTCAATATGTATGGCTTGTAATTGGCCATCACTGACATCACTTCACTATTGTGTATGCTTGTACTTGGCACCTGTGTAATTTGTTTTTTTATATATATTTTTTTTGGGTAAATAATGATAATTTTTTAATAATTTTTTGATTTTTTATCTTTTTCAATGTATGCCAAACCAGGCCTTATTTACCAAGTATCAAAAGATTCACCAAATAGATTTATGATTTACTTTTAAGCTTGTATGTCAATAATATAAAAAATTATAATAATAAAAATCAACTTATAAACTATAAAAATACGAAAGAGCATAGTGTTTGTTGACATTCCAACATGAGTTTATATTTTGGTTTAGAGTAAAAAGTGTGCTTTTGTTAACAATCCCTGAAAATGACTAAACCATTAAATTTTGGCCTTCTATGAATGAGACATTTCTTTTTAGTGGTCCTCCCTACAATAAATTGTCAATTTTACCCCTTATTTTTCTAGTTAATTGTTACTTCGCAGTCTTAAAAGAAATTTGTTTTTTTTTTTTTTTTTTTTTTTTTTGGCACTGACATAAAGGTTATTTGGTGTAATTTATTTTGGTTATAGTTATTTTTTTAAAGTCTGTGTCAAATAAGTATAACTTCTATGTACAACTGATTAAGGAAGATATCTTAAATAAAGTGAAAAAAAATAATTATTTAGAAATTGAGAGAATCTGTTTTTAACGTTTACATTTTTATTATCAATTTTAACTTATAATAAATTACATCAAATTGACTCATAATATATTAGGTATTGATTTTTAATTTATCACAAACTTAATTATATGAAGCCTAATTATTCTTCATCTGTTAAAATTTAAAATTATGAGTGAATTTAAAATTTAAAATTGTGCTGCACCTATTATTCTTCATCTGTTATTAGCATCTAAATTATAATGATTAATAAAAGTAACTCATAATTAATAAAGATACCCCATACTTTTGTCTCTTATAGCTCTGGCATTATATAACAGGTGGACAAAAACTGAACAATCAATGAAATCCCAAATTTGACACCATCAATTCATGTGCATGTTTTTTGAAAAGTTATTTAGTGGTTTTGAGGCATTACAAAGGAGAAGTTATTGAGTGGTCCTGAAGCACTCTTAGGTGATGCCCAAGAGTGTCATGATTGGTTAAGGAAGTAGAATTTATGATTTTGTAGTGGGTAATTGAGGAGCAACAAAGAGGCGTACTGTATTGTAATTGGTGAGGAGTATTGTTACGTGACGTTTTGAGAACACCAAATAATTTTCTCATGGCTAAGTGGTGTTCCAAAATATTGTGATTGATAAAAGAGGTGAGATTTATGATTCAAAATTATTAAACTATTACACTCCAAATATTCTATCAATATTTATACCAAACACTCACATAGAGATGGCAATTTAAACTCGGCCCGACGGGGACCCGACCCCCCGACCCCGATTAACACGGAAATTTCCCGAAAAATACCCCTGACGGGCCGGGGACGGTATTCAAAAAAAATTCCCGATCATTTTCGGGCCGGGGACGGTGATAAGTTGTTCTGCCCCGGCCCGGCCCGACCCCGTTCCCGGTCCCGATTCTGCCCTGCCTCTCTCTCATCTCTCACTCACCAACCCACTATATATAATATATACTCTTCTCTCTCTCTCTCTCTCTCTTATCACAGATCTAATCTAACAAAACTCCTTTCATCTCTCATTCAGATCTCTTTCTTTCTTTCTCTCTCTCTCTCTCTCTCTCTCATCTCAGATCCACTCTTCCTCTGCCGCTCTCTGTCTCTTGTCTCTAAGCCGCCGTGGCCGTACTCCGCCGCTTGATACTAGCGGCGCAACCAGTCTCTATCTTCTCTCTCCTCTCTCAACCGATCGAGACCTCTCTTCTCTCCCTGTGTCTGTGTGTGTGTGTGATGATGATGGCGACTCAGATCTCAGTCTCAGATCTGCAGATGTGTGTGTGTGTGTGAGATGATGATGATGAGGGGTTCTGTAACTCAGCTGGTTGAAGATTGGTTATGAGGATGATGACTGGTAATGAGGATGATGAGGGGTTCTACGTTGGGGCCGGGGATGGGGATGGTGGTGGGTTCCCCGTCGGGGATTGGGGCCGGGGCCGGGGAGATTTTCCAAATCGGGGATCGGGGACGGGGAGGGCAATCCCCGGCCCCGCCCCGCCCCGCTCCGTTGCCATTCCTACACTCACATAAGTATGAGTTCCACACTCGTGTATAAAAAATTTTGGATTCGTTTGGTTTGATTTTGAAATCAATTTTGAAATATAAGTTTTTCAAAATTTTAAAATTTGTTTAGAAGTGGGTTGGCTTTTTGGTTTTTTTGGCTATTTTAGCCTGGGCTAAAAAGCTTGGTTTGGGAAGGGCTTTTTGGCTTTTTGGCTTTTTTGATTTTTTTTGTGAGAGAAGAGTATAATGATTATGGGTTGAATGTGATGTTTTGTTTGTTGTGGCTAAAATAGCCTGTTTTGTCTTTTGTGGCTATTTTAGCCCCAACCCAACTTGCCAAACACCACCTTAGTTGTTTATTTTGAAAATAATTTTGTAGTTTTGTAATTTGGAATGATTTGTATTTTTTTTTTTAGTTGAATAGATTAGTGTGAGGAAAAAAATGATGAATTGATATGTAAGTTGTGAAATAATGAGAGAAGAGAGAAGAAAGAAAAAATGATTGATCGATGTGTAGGATGCGAAAAAAAGAAGAAAAGAGATAGAAAAAAATAATTGAAAACAATTTTGAAAAAATTATAAACCAAACAAATTTAAGTTTTAAACTCTCAAAAGTTGATTTAAAAACTAAAAGATTGTTTGAGATAATCTAAATAAATATACATTTTGAGCTTTTTTGAAAAATTATGCAATATGACAGCGAGGTGATATAATTCAAATAAGAGTCTAAAATAAATCACCCTAAACAAGCTTTAACTCAAGCAAGTTTATTGTATCTCTTACATTGCTCTTTGTGATTTGGGGATTATTTGGTATATATTAAAGCAACACATTTTTTTTTTTAATTTTTTTTAATCTTATTTAGATCATATTATCTTTTATTTGAGTTATATCATCTCTTTATCATATTATATATCTTTTAATAAAAAAATTTTAAAATATTTATTTGAAACAATCCAAACAATTCTTTGATTTTAGGTGACACTCAGGTTTTGTTTAGAAACTATTTTTAATCAAAAAATCAAACCTTAATCTCATCAGATGGGGTCGGCTATATAAATACTTCTTCTCCATATAACTCTATCAAAGGCTACTTCATTAGTCAAATTAAGTAGATCCATATTTCTATTTACAACGCTAGTCAATGTTAATCTCAGCCTACCCAGTCCCCTAATACTTCTATCTATCGTTACTGTAAATTATTGCATCATTTTTTTTTATTTTTCTATATAATTTTTTATAAAAGATTAAAAAACTACTAAAATATCGAATTCCCAAAAGGGCCTCAATAATTAATGAGAATATTGTATCAACTACTAATAAGTATCGGTAGTGTTACATGTGCCAATTAGTATACTAACTAGTGTACCAATATTAGTTATGACATTATTATTGACTCCACTCATTAATCACATTATAAATTCAAAAAACCTTTTAAATTATGGGCAAAAGTCAACAATTACGGCTGCACAACTCCCAATTCAAATTTTTCCCTATAAATTAATTTTTACAATTTTTTATTACACATTTTTCAATAAAAAGTCAAAATGTTAACCCAAACATCCATATTTTCAACCTCAATTTTTTAGTCCAAAAAGACAAAAAGTACACTTTTTTAGTCTTCCCAAACTTGGCCTAACTAGTGTACCAATATTAGTTATGACATTATTATTGACTCCACTCATTAATCACATTATAAATTCAAAAAACCTTTTAAATTATGGGGTGTTTTGAGAAGTTGGTGACTTTTTACCAAGTTTTTTGGCTTTTTTGGAAGTGAGTTGGGAAGTGGGTAAAAAGTTGACTTTTTTGATTTTTGATTTAATATTTTGTAAAAGTGTCACATCATTCTAAAATGACTAAAATATCCTTACTTTTTAATTAGATTTACAATTTTGTCCTTTGGCATGTCAACACTATTTTGAATTAATTAATAATAATTTTTTCAAAGGGTAGTTTGGTAAATGAAGAAGTTGCGTTTTGGGGTCTTCCCAAATGGTGGACTTTGGCTTTTTGTATGGTGCTGCGTTTTTGTTATTGTTGCCAAACACTGTGTTTTCAACTTCTCCCCAAAACGGCATTATATCACATCATCAATTAGTACATTAGTTAGTATATCAATTGATACATATAACATTATTTAAGAGCGTCTTGAAAAGTTGATAAAAAATTGACTTCTTAACTTTCTTAATAATTTTTTTGACAAAAAAAACTGACCTTTTTTTTTAAACTAAAAAAATTGATTTTTTATGTACAAAAATTAAAAAATCAAAAAATTGATTTTTTTTTGCTTTGGCAAAAGACCCCTCCATAAGTTTTCCATTCGAAAACGCTGGACCAGATTTTCTGTCTCGGGCAGTTCAAAAGAAAACAAAAAAAAAAATTGTCTCGGGATTCCACAAGCATCTCCAGATACGCCACAAGCCTACCACGCTCCCTCTGCCACCACTCAATCCCATCACTCCACGTGTCCTCCATCCAACGGCCCACATCCAATGCTGCCAGACATGCACTTCCCATATATCTCATACTCACCACAAACCACACCACCCCTAAACCTTCTCATCTTCCCCTGTTCTTCCTCAACCTCACTCTCTCTCTCTCTACAAACACCATTATGCTTCTCCGAGCTGCTTCGGCTTTCTCTCTCGTGAACCCTCATGGGGACAATCTGAGTCCGTTTGGGTCCTCTATTTTGGGGGTTTCTTCGAAAGCCAAGATCGGAAATGGGTTTCTGGTTTGCGCTTCCAAGGGCTCGGACAATCGGCCTCTTACCGGTGTAGTGTTCGAGCCGTTTGAAGAGGTGAAGAAGGAGCTCACACTCGTCCCTACTCTCCCCCACTCTTCCATTGCTCGCCAGAAATACTCCGATGAATGCGAGTCCGCTATCAACGAACAGATCAAGTGGGTTTCTGTTTTTCCGCTTTCTTTTCTTTCCTTTTCTTGATTGATTGATATTCATCATAAAATGTATTTGATTATTTGTTTTTTTAACATGCGTATCCCAAACATTGTTTCGACATTTATGTCAGTTCTTGATTTTTTTAGCTCTCTCTCTATGTGTGTGGATATGTATATGTACGTATTTTTAGCTTTCTACGTGGTTCCTCTATTCCCTTTTAACATGTTTGGGTCATATTTTCTCAATCTCAGATTGGGTTTATTTTCCTTTCTTGATTGATATTCAAAGGGGTGGTTTGGGAAGACGTTTTTAGTGATTTTTTGAACTTTTTTTTTTCCCCTGGAGGGGTTAAAATTGTATTTGAAAAAATATAATATGTCTGAAAATGACTTTGTGCAAAAAGTAAAGTGACTGAGAAAATCTTTGGTTTTTTTTTGTATGTGTTGATTAATTATTATTTATTTTCTTTGAAAAATGTTTGAGACATGTAATAAACACCCCCCCCACTTCACCCAACTTTTTTTTTTTTCCCCTGGAGGGGTTAAAATTGTATTTGAAAAAATATAATATGTCTGAAAATGACTTTGTGCAAAAAGTAAAGTGACTGAGAAAATCTTTGGTTTTTTTTTGTATGTGTTGATTAATTATTATTTATTTTCTTTGAAAAATGTTTGAGACATGTAATAAACACCCCCCCACTTCACCCAATGATGGGAAATGATAGGTCTCAACTTTTGGCTTGTCACATACTCTCAATTATGTGAAGTTCTACTTACATTTGGATCCTCTAAAGTGATTTTACGTAGAGTTATTTTAGAGTTAGAGTGATTTTTTGAATGGTTTACCATACAAAAGTTGTGGATACAATAGAACTGATAATCACTTAAAAAAAATCTCACTCATTTAAAAAATCACTAACTTGTTTGGGAAGATGAATTTTTATTTAAAAAGTCCAAAAAAAAAAACCAGTGCAGATACATCTCTATCTATTTTCTGCACATATTTTTGTATAAAACTAAAAAGTCAACTCCCAAATAAGTTTTAAGATCACCCTATGAAAAATCACTCTCGAGGATCCGGAATCCTACTACCTTGCCATATCATTGGGGTGTCCTTAGGGGGTCTCAAATGTCGGTGTCTAGCATTATTGTTCTTTCTTATTTTTAATAGTTTTTTTTGACTCGTTTAGTAATTTTTTGGTTTTAGGCTAAAATATGACTACCCAAATGAGGCCTATCTATGCCTCCGTTTGGAAAATGGGTTGGCTTTTTGGCTTTTTTGGCTATTTTAGCCTGGGCTAAAAATGGGAAGGGCTTTTTGGCTTTTTGGCTTTTTTGACTTTTTTTGTGAGAGAAGAGTGTAATGATTATGGGTTGGATGTGATGTTTTGTTTGTTATGGCTAAAATAGCCTATTTTGTTTTTTGTGACTAAAATAGCCAAAAAAGCCCAACCAACTTCTTCCCAAACGGTGCCTATGTGATTATTTGTTGTCATCATTTTTATCCAAAACAAATTTTCAACATTTATTAGTTCTTAATTTTATGGATTCTCCATATGGGTGTTTATGTGTACCATTGCTTGGTGTTTATGTTCGTGCTTGAGCTATTAGTTTAATGGACTCTGTTTGAGCTCTGACTATTAGTTGATTTTCACATTTTCTCTAATGTTCTTTGTCTACTTGTTTGTTTTTACAGTGTTGAATACAATGTATCATATGTGTACCATGCTATGTTTGCCTACTTTGATCGCGACAACATTGCTCTCAAGGGTCTTGCAAAGTAATCTTTCAAAATTCTCAAATTTTTTTATTTGAATTACTTTCCTTATGGTTTATTGGGGGGCAAGTCTGATCTGATTTATGGCTTGTTATATGTAGGTTTTTTGAGGAATCAAGTGAAGAGGAACGGGACCATGCTGAGAAGTTCATGAAGTATCAGGTGTTTGAAAAAAATACATCTATGATTCGAAACTTTTCATTTTCAATTGATTTCTAATTGGAAGTAGTTTGTATGAATTTGAATCCCTAATATTTGTTGCTGCGATAAATGTCAGAACAAACGAGGTGGGAAAGTGAAGCTGCAATCAATTCTGATGCCACTGTCTGAGTTTGACCATGATGAGAAGGGAGATGCATTGTATGGTAAGTTTTTGTTTTGGCTTTTCTTTATGCAATATGATGAGAATTGAAACTGCTTTATTACAGCTTTTATCAATTTAACCATATAGCCATACAGTTGTTTTCAAATGTGCTCTTTTTGGCTTTTGATTATGATTTCTTTGGGTCATGAAGTACAATGAATTGGACTTCATGCGGTGGCTTTCATCATGTAGCGTCTTGAACATTTCATTTTATGGAAACAGAGGGACTTCCTTGGCATTTTGTATTTTAATTTATAATGATTTCCATCGTGATGTGCTCATGTAGTAATCACTTACATGTATCGGTTCTTCTTGTCTGCCTTTGAGTAGCATATGTATTGCTGTTATTAATGGTAAATGACCAAGAACTAAGGGTTGTTTTGGGAAGTAGTTATTTTAATTGATTTTTTAGTTTTTTTATAAAAAGACGTGCAAAGAAGTAGAGAGAAAAGTTGACTTTTGGGCAGTGACCTTTTAGCTATTTTAGTATGTTCCCAAACTTGCCCACTGCTTGTAAAATTGCCTTTGTTTTGTGGTTTTGCTGTTCATGGCATGTCAATTTGTGTACTCATACTCATGAACCCTTTATTTTAAAAAAGGTGATTGAAACCTCTATATCTTAAGCGATTGATACTGATTGTGGCTAATTTGTTGATGTAGCAATGGAGCTTGCACTGTCTTTGGAGAAGTTGACAAATGAAAAACTTCTAAACTTGCACGCTGTAAGACATTCCTTTTGTGTCTTGTTTACTTGGCCCTAGTTCTTGTTATAGTTTTCATTCTTTTTAGGCAGTTCTATATGACCAATGGAGAAAATGTCCGAGGAAGTTGTATTACATTTTGTGACTCCAAGGATCGAAAAGTTGATCTATGTAATCCAGTGTGTTTGAAATTGCTTACTGTCGTTATTCTAGTGTGAAGTTGAGGTATTGGTTATTTATTTACGACATTAACTGTCACAACAGGTAGCAAGCCAGAACAATGATGCGCAGTTGACTGATTTTGTCGAAAGTGAATTTTTAACTGAGCAGGTGAAACGCAATTTCATTTGTTCCCATTCATCTGAAATTTCCTTATTTCCTTTTAGAAGAAAATTGTGTCACTCATGTAGCATGATATACTGATTTCTGGGTTCAATCTTTTTCTTCTTCTTATTATTAGGTGGAAGCCATTAAGAAGATGTCAGAATACGTTGCTCAGCTGAGGAGAGTGGGCAAAGGACATGGTATGAATCCAAATTCCTCACACCTTGATCCCTATTTTAATCCATTTTGTTTTGTAATTTTGGCCTTGTTGGAGCAAATGCTAAAATGCTAAAATGGATAGTGAAAGAACACCAAATTTGGCATAACATTGTATAAGAATACCAAATTTGAGCACCATAAAGTCTAAGAATTCATAATACTTTACCAGACACTTGATGTGGCTTAGATTTAATTCTTGTATAGTGGTAAACCATACTTGAAATGAATATCAACCATTCAACACTTATTCTGATTAAATTTTTTGGGTACCTAGCAGAGTCTGTTTTAGCAATGTTCCAATGGTGCACTAGTAATTTCTTCTATTTTATTCCAAAATAAAAAAATAAAATTCAAAATGTCATTTGGGGGGCCCATTATGAAAGAGAGAAAGAGAGCTCTAGTCAAAATTTGGCATCACTAATTTTGGCAATGCCATATTTTGGCATGACATTGAAGCTTGCTTTTCTGTTGAAGTTGCTACAATTTAGCAATAGCAATAACTATCTTATATAAAGGCCCGAAGAGAGAGGGGTGTTCTGACGACAACACTTCTAAAATGTAGATTTGGGTGTTTCTCTCCCAATTTTGACATAGCTTTTTGATTTTTGACACATACGATGGTTTTCTCTTCTCTCAATCCTTTTCCCATACTATTGTGGATGTTCTTCCTCTTCAACTCTAGCTTCTGGTGGTGTCCGAATTACGGCGGCGATGACAGAGTTAGATAGTGGCAATGGGAATGTGGATGACGGCGACGGCGGGTGTTTATGCAAATCTGACTTGGTTTGATGAAGATCTAGTTTTTCAAATCACATCTATGAGAAGATTGTGGTTTTCCCTAGCTCGTAGCTGATTTTTTGGTAGATCATTTTTGTTGTTTGGTTATTTGTTTGGCCCTTTAGGGTCTTGTTGTTTTTCTTTTTAATTTGTATATTGTTTGTTTTATTTTAATATAACTGCTTCTCATGTTCTAAAAAAAAAAACGAGGACAACGACGACGACAACATCTTATATGTGTTGCTGCTGCATTTCTTTGTTTCCTTCTTTCCTGTTCTAAAACCCAGTATGTATTCCTGTGATTTCAGGAGTCTGGCACTTTGATCAGATTCTCCTCCATGAGGAAGCAGGAGTTGCAGCATGATGGTGAAGCTGGTCTTGTTGTCTTCGACTTGCTAGCTGATTTGGAGGACTTTCTGAGTGGTCTTTTGTGGTGTTAGATTTTCAATTAGAGATTTTGGGTTGCGGATAAAGTTTTATTGATGGCTGATGAAAAGCTCTTATGGGACTAATTTAGTCATCTATATTAGTACTAAGTTAAGAGTGCATGAGATATTGGTTATATATATGTTTTAAAATTTCCTATCTATGCTGTGTAGAAGAATTTTTTATCTGAATTTCCTTTCTTGCAATTGTAGTTAAATGAGAAAGAACATGGGGACCCAAAGTATAGTTTTTGGACTCTTTGGGGAGAAGCCGCAGAGTAGGGATGGCAATGGATGGGGCGGGAACCGACTCGTAGTACCCTGTCCTGCCCCAAATCATATTGGAGACTATAAAATTGGAAAAGTGGTGGGATTGGGAAAAATTATTATCCCTAAGTGGTTCCTCCCATGTTTGGGGGGACCATCATGCTGTGATGTTGTGTCTAAACTTGTGGGAATTTTTTCTTTATGTTCGGTGTTAAAAAATAAAAAATGTTATGAGTTTTAAATTTTTTATTAAATAAATAGTCAAATATTTTACGTGGCTGTAAGGTTCACAAAATTGCAGATTTTATATCTATGTGAAACATTTGATTATTAATTTTATAAAAAATTTTGTATCTATAACCTTGCTTGTAAAAAATTAGCTACACCTACGATTGATTCTGATGTCTATATATGTCTTGTCCTAAGTGGAGCAATGTGTGCTCGTTAATGCTCTTCTCATAGGCTGAACTAGTTGTGAGCTGGAAAGAGTGACTCACTAAACAAATCTAGTAAAAGCATCTTTGTCGTCCTGATGCCAAGCATGTGGGCTAACAAAAATAAATAATAATTTAGGTGCAGTTATATCTAGTAAGGTCAAGTTTGGCATGATTAAAAAAAGTTAAAAAGTCACTATCCTATTTAAGTCACATCATCTTATTTAAGTCACATCACTTCTCTAACACATCACTTCAAACTCAACCCAAACCCAACCCATATTTCATAAAAAGTCAAAAAGTACATTTATTTAGTCTTCCCAAACTAAGCCTAAATAATTTATCCAAAATTATATTTTTTAAGAATATAAAAAGCAGTTGTATTAACATAAAATAAATATATTAAGACCTTAAAGGGTCAAATAAATAACCAAATAACAAATTACAAAAAACAAAAATAAAATTGTCAAAAAATCAGTTACGATTAAGAAAAAATCACCGATCTTATAAATGCAGTTTGGAAAACTAAATCTGCATCAAATCAAGCAAGATTTGCATCAATACCCATTGTCGATGTTGTCCCTGTCTCCTCTGTCCAATTCTGTCACCGTCGCCGCTATACTTCGAACACTGTTAGAAGCTAGAGTTGAAGAGGAAGAACACCTACAATGGTATGTGAGAAAGTTTGAGAGAAGAGAGAATCATTGTGGGTGTTGAAAATTCAAAAAATTATGCCAAACGTGGAGGAGAAACACTCAAAACCTCTATTTCAAACATAAAAAATTCAGATCTACACTTTGGAAGTGCAAATCTATACTCTAGGAATGTAGATCTACATTTTAAAAGTGTAAAGGAGGTCACCGGAGCTTTGCTAGAGAACTGTCGAAAATCTCCAGAGAGAGAACCTCTATCCTCTCTCTCTTCAGGCACATCCAAAATTAAAATTATGTCTATGATGGTTTTGATATTCACTATGATAAAAAATAAATAAATTACAAAGACAGTGTCAAATATTTACAAAGATTCGTACTACATCAACACATTCAACTCATGAAAGGCCCGACAACGGCTTTGGAGAGCCTCTCGCTCTAAGCAATTTTTGGCGTCAATCTAATAACTTTTCAGTGAGCTCCAAACTTTCATATTCTAGATCTGAGTTTTTTATACTTATGAAGAGGGGTATAAGAACTTAGCCACTTATTTTCTGCATAGATTTTTGAATTTTCAACATTCCCAATTGACACTGATGGGCCTCAAGAGGGCCCAGCCCCTAACTCAAGGCCATATGCTTAGTATCCTTGAGAAACCAATATTGAACCAGGACTAATACCCCAACTCAAGGCCCAGGTATCAAAGCCCAGTATCCTTGAGGAACCAATATTGAACCAGGACCAATAGCATTTAAACACTTGTCAAGCAGAAAATCAACCACGAAAACAAACAAAGATCCTGCAAAGTTATTACACCCACACATCAGCCATTAATAAGGTCCTCATAGCATTGAATGCAGCAACCCCTCCACGACGGAGGATATAAACTCACCATGAACAATGTTAACTAGACTACAGAATTTCGGTCAACGGGATAGCTTGGAATGGATGAGGAAATGATGAGCAACGGGTATAAGAAAGTCTTGGAGATACGTCAAGGTTAAGTTTTTCTATCCCCAGTTACATTCTTTCTCTCTCCCAAAAAAACCAACTTGTTCTAATCTAACTTGATCGTTGGAGTGTCCACTGGGGGACTATCTCCCCCCTTGGACTATTTTGCAGGCACGCTTTATGAACGTCGAGACCAGCAGATTGGTTGAAAGCATGGATCAGTCTAACCCATCTCCCAGTTGAAGCAATCGCTTCATCAGTTGGCGCCATCTGTGGGAACTCACATCATTGGTCAACAGTTGTGTTCATTGTCACCAGAGGGAACTCCATCATCACCCATCTCCTAAGTCAGGGTGGATGGTCACAACCAGGTCCATGGCTTTATAACACAATACTGGTGACATGACCCGAACCCGCCCTTATAAATTAAGGTCATAACTGGCCAGTAATCATGAGATTACCTACGGTCTCAAATAGAAATCAATTAAAAATTAATAATATCGGGCTAGATGCGAAAGCAGACTTAAAAATTTTGTCCAATGAGCTGTGCTTACATGGCAAATTAAAAACATTTCCCATACACTTAATAATAACTCACACCATATATTAGTAGTTAACATCTTGTGCACCCAGGATCATTCAAACACATAGTCAATTATATCAAAAGCTTATACACATAAATGGTCTATCATGACCAATGGAAATAGCAAAAGAAAATACAAAAAGATCATAAACAAAGCCTCTTGCGTGAGGCACCTGGGTTGGCTTCACAAAACTCGGGTGCCTTTCTTAAACTCCACAAAGCCTGGGATTGAACATCCATTTGCTCACCTACATACATATAAATAAGAGTGAGCTAACGTTGTAACAATCTAGATTTTTAATTATTCTGTAGAATTTATACTAATATTATTTAATCTCAATTCGGAAAATATATAATTTATTATATATTATTATGTGTAATTTTGTAAAATAATATAATTATTAGAAGTTTAGGGTCAAAATATAAATAATAATAATAATGGGTGTAGTACTAAAATAAATAATTATTTTTCTATTGATATCTGATAAAGTGTAATTTAATTAGAAATTAAATTATTTATATAGTTATATTAAAATATTAGGTCAAAAGGTAATTATCTTAAATATCTATTAAAGATAAAAATAAATCTTTATAATTATTATCGAATTTGGGAGAAAGGGACGGCCCGGCCACGTGTGGCCAAGCAATGGTCTCACCTCCTTATAAATAGGAGGTGATTCGGTTTGAAGGAAAAAAGAAAGGGAGAGAAAAGAAAAGGAAGAGAAAAAGGAAAGAAAGAAAAGAGAGGAAGAAGGAAAGAATGGTGGAAGTTAAAAGAGTTTTTGGTAGTGGAAAGAAAGAGTAAGGTATTAAAGTTAAGGTGAATTATATTATATTTTGAGTCATCAAAATGTATTTTACATATGTTTTGACTTACCAAAATCTGTTTTACACAAGTTATGTTTTATTAGTATATTAATAAAAGTTTTATTTTATAAAGATTTTAGTTACGTGGTTTTATTTCTGAACCCTATTTGCTTAAAAGGAAACCCATGGATATATTTATTTTACTTTTAAAGAATATTTGGCTATGACCTTATATAAAATTATGTTTTGTAAGTATCACCACAAGAGTCCCATGTCTTGGGGGATTTAAATAACCATTGGCCTCTGCTTGGTTACTTTGTGGCCCTCTGATCCATTGACCTCTGTTTTGTGCGAACTAAAGTGCTGTGCAGAACTAAGTGCTACACTATAGTGGGAACCACCTCTAGAATCCGTACAAGCCACCTCTTGAATCCGTACCTCTGTTCTGACTGTCACTTCTGTGACCTCTGTTTTGTTTTGTACCGTGGTTATGGTTATCTATTTATATAATATCTGTATTCCAGTTTCTGCTACTCAAATGATTTTTGTACCAAACTGAGTTATATAAATGTTTTGGTTTAATTAATTGTCCATGGTTATTTCGTGTCCCTTATACTCTTGGTATAATATTTCTCACTCTGCCATGTGCTTATAGTTGTTTACCAATTTTCAAGAACCAATACAATTCAGAAATAGCTTTGGAAAGTCTTAGATGCGGGGCTGCGGAATAGACACACACAACACTTTTATGATATTTTTATATGTAAATATCGGCCTTTTTTGTCAATATATTTTGTAATAAAAATAGAAGCTCCAATGATTATTTTGGTACCCTTATTTAAATATTACTTCCACTCGTATTTATTGATTTGTTTATGAATTGGCCGGAGGTAACATCAGTTACTGGCTATCACGATGCTTAACCCTTGGGTACGGGGAGCGGGTCGTGACAAACGCCCAGTGAATAATACCAAAGTAAAGGGGTTATATGAATGAGATTCATATTAAGTACATCAAACCTGTAAATTTTATATAAAAACGGCCTTAGGCCCATTCTGTGTTCTTGTTGTATATGTCAAACGGCCTCGGGCCCATTTTAGATCCTTAGCAAACATATAAAACGACCTTGGGCCCATTGTATAACTTGTTAGATTCATCACACGACCTCGGGCCCAATTTAAACATTTCAAATGTATCAAACGGCCTCAGGCCCATTATTTCCATATTCATATTTATGCGTATATTCATATTCATATTCATGTTTATGAGCTCTTTTTCATTCAAATGGCCTTTGACCCATCATAATATTCAAACGGCCGTTGACCGAATTCATTCACATCAAACGGCCTCGGGCCCAATCATATCAAACGGTCTCGGGCCCAACCATCATATCGAACAGCCTTGGGCCCAAATCATGTTCTTCATAGTCTTATACAAAAATTAGGCATATAGAATACTCATTCATAATTCAAATTAACAAATACATGAAGCTTATACATA